ATAACATTTTAAGATTCTCCACATTGTTGGACGATGTTTTGAATTAAATACAGCCTCAAGACCAGGAAACTGGCAAACCGAGTAGAATTTCATAAGAAACTGTTTTACGGTCTCACTGAGCCTGTATGCTACTTACTTTCCATATTTTCATAGTTAGCCTTTCCTACAATAAAAAAACTGTTTTTAATGAACGTGATGTTGCAAGGGTTTGTCAAACTTAGTCAGATTATTATTAACTAGTCTAGTAACTCAGAAAAACTGTTGAAACCTAAAAATTATTTGCATGAATACTTAAAAAGAAATGATTGCTATATTTGCAAAAGTATCGTATAGATGTGTGTATTTTAACCCGTTTTCAGTATGACCACCAGTGCACAACGAAATACTCCATAGATATTCGTAAACAAAACAAATAGTTTAATTTTGGCAACTTTACTTAAAATTTTGACATGATTCATTTGTTTTTCGCATGTTCATTTATTTATGAATTTGTGTGTATCTTACATTCAAATTATCTTGGCGCTTTTCTAAGTCGCAACTTATAGTTTGCCCCTAATTCATGTGTGAACTCGTTTGCATGAAACAGACATTTCCGGTTGTCTTTGCAAATTCCTGGATATTCGATTCAATTTATTGTTTGTGAGGATTTAAGGGAAGTCGTGTCATCCATGAACATGTATAGTACAACAGTTATGAAAAAATGTTTAAGTAAATAGGCAAAACAACCTACGTCAGCGCCGGAAGTATTCAGAAAATGAACTACAGAGTAGTAATTAGTTCATTTCAGATTGGAATGAAATTAATTCGCTGTTCAGTCCAATGCGGTAATGCGTGGATTTTCCACACACATTAACTAAATGTAAATTTAAACATCTGCGCTTAACATTAGGCGTTCGCCCAGCACTAATCGAACATTTATTGCCATGTCGTTTGAAGTATAAATTGTAATGAATAGGCCAAATACCGTTGAGTATATATTCAAGTCACTATGGTATCCATAAAGACTATCAACTTTGAAACGGTCGATCAAGGCACTACTGTTCCCAAGTTGTTCACAAAGCCTCATAAACCTTTAAGGCAAATGAATTTGGGAGAAAGACGATTAAATTAAAAATCTAGACGGAAACTTTAAAGGGCGACCTCTAACAAAAATTTAACGGTTAAATTTGTTTTAAAGCCATCTACCTACCTAACAGAAATTGAAGTTTGTTAGGCAATCGTATAAATCTTATTGGATAATGTTATGGAATGAACAAAAATATTCACTTAATAACGTTTCCCGAAGATAAAAGTTCATCTCGTCATCTATTTGAACAGGTGTAAAACCTCAATAAATGAAATTTACAATCGTCTGTCAATTCAACGGGTTTATATGGCATAGTCTCACCGTCCCCTTCTAGTATCCTAGGGAGCAGTTTAAGCAGGCCATAGATGCATGGTATTTTAGCACGTGCAATACACAGATGCAAAGCCGCATCACTATGCAGGCCGAAAGAAAATCCCTTCTGGCAGTCACCGAAAATTATCGAAACAAGCAATTTGCTAGTAAACCCGTAATACTGGGTTTTGTTTTTGTTTATTCGGCCAGTTTCGATGATCATTTAATCGCGGAGGTAGAAGCGTTAAGCACTGTCTCCAGTATTCCTGATCCTATGCCAGCGTTTGAGCTTTAGCAAAAGATAACGTTTGCAGAAGTCTTTCCATGCATTTTCCATAGTTTATTCTTGGCCGTCCTCTGTATTTGTTTAGTGAATATAAATTAAAATGTGGAATGCAAATCTTCTAGTGTATGTCTAAGGTATAACTATCTGCGTACGATAAACATGCATAGATTTCTGGGCGATCTCATGATCTGCAAAATATTATGCTGGGAGTCAGTTATTCAGCTACTGAGCGAAATGAACGGCTATTCAGAACACTGTTAGATGAACTGGCTTTTAGCTCTCAGAAATAGGTATGCCTGCAATATTGCTGTACAGTTTAGATCCGGGTCAACGTAATTATTAATGGCTCTGCAGGTTAATACTTGAATTCGATTCGATTATTAGATTCGCTTCGTGCACAAGACTTTTCTATGTGCGTTTACGATATCCAGATCTATTTGGAACCATACACTGAAATAGAAGCTGGACAATCCTCATTCTCGTAGTTTACACTGAATGATCATGAACAATGAGATTCTGATAAAGGTTTGCGCTAATTCCAAATAACCGTCCACATTAGAACTAATAAAGGAAAGTAATGGAAAAAACGTGACGGCCAGCGTTATGCAAGCTTTTATTAATCTGAAATCAACGGGAACATCGACTGGCATGGGTTAAAGTAAACAGGCGAAAAACTGAAATCTTACTTTTAAGACAATGACCTCATTGCCAAAAATGGCATAACAATTCCAAAATCGTAAAGAGTGTTGTATAATAAAAAATTTTAACATTAAAACAAAACAATCGAAAACAGCACCTTTGTTGTAACTAGAAATTCCGCAAAAAAATAAAACAGGCAAAAACTACGCTTAAGTAGAAAACGACTAACAATAAGACCTGAGACTAAAACAAGTCTTAAAACGAGGCAGAGTAAAATGAGAGATAGGAAGTAATCCTGTTAAGGATCAACAAAAGAGACCAGTATATAGCGGATACCCTTCTTCGTCGGCAAGCCTTCGTGATAGTGTGTAAGCCTGCCGGGCTGCAGAACCGTCCAACCCGGTTCTATATCAACAATGGAGCAGTTGTACCGGACGTAGCGAACTCCGCCACCCTTAGAATAAATGGTACATAATAAAATCATCGTAAAAATATGCACTTACTTCATAGTCACTGCCAACTTGATTCAGAGCAGTCGACGTGGTATAAGTGGAAGCGTCATGATGAGGTCTGAGAGAGGCCTGCTCGTCTGGATGATACCGCACGACAAAATTCATGATTGCTCTTGGGGGCTGAAGATATAGCTATATTCACTGAATATTCTGTTTATGTCGGCATCACCTGCTTGCTGTAACCAAGGTAGACCAATTCCTGCACTGGCCGAACGTAAGTATCCAAGATATAAAGCCACTGCCTTTCAAAACCCACTTGGTTCAGATGGATGTCGCGCGTTGGAACATTTTCATATCCTCCTGCTAAACGTTCATCCTGCAATTTTCATTTTTATACTCTGTCATAAAAGTATGACAAAAGTTTGCAACGAAGTGCAAAAGTTTGTGTGAATCTGATAAAACTAGCTTTTCTTATTCATTTGCATTACTTCACTAATTCTTTCGATGGTCATAGTAACTCCAATCGATGTTTATTGATTTGATTCATAAACTTCGCATCACATAAATATTTAGTTTCGGTACCAATTAAAATTTTTAGATCAACTGTACTAAAAATCTGCTGAATCCATTCAAATTATTCAAATAAAGCGTACGCAGCGTTTTTGCAAACTTTTGCCGCAACATTCAATGACACAAAATAAAAAATACATTCCCTGTAGTCACTGAAATTAATATTGAAAAAATTTGCACAGCTATAAAGAAATCGCAATCGCTGAGACAATGCATCGAATTATGGTGAAAAACTAATGTTCTACGCTGTATTTACAATCAGTGAAGCTCCTCAGGTTGAGGCCGGAAAGGTGTCCAAAAAATTCTCAATTCAGATTTTACCAGAAATTCATATGCATGGGTAGGAAGTCACCAAGCCACTTTTCATGTAAGAGGTTTCTTGATATCTTGCTCCACGACGAACAATAAAAGTAGTTATTTTGGCACTCACTCCACCAATTTACACATAGTCTTCTAGTTTGACCGTTTGAGGACTGTGGACTTTTTCCTGCCATTCAATGATTTCAAGATGATTTCTAAAGCTTGTTGCCAGAATTAACAGTTTCTCTGTAATGGAGCTGATCGTAAAAGTCGTAAACCAGCCAGCATGTTAAAATATTCACATGCTCAGCATTTCTGTCGATGTAGTACAGTCTCTGCATCCCAAACTCTTCCAGTGCTTGTCGTGTGCTGCGTCCATCAGCGCATAATATGTCGATCTGTTTTCCTGCATGAAGCTTTTGCCCATGTATTGGTCCCAATCTCCCATGGGACTATTAACTAATGTTGACTCTTACTAGCACATAACTGCTTTCAATCAGTTGACGAATAAAGTTATTAAATTTAAAAAAGCGCACCTAACTGTCAATTTATGGAAGCAAAAAATCAAATTAGAGTCTTTTTTGCAACAAATATCATGTCTGGCAGAGGGAATAAATCGCTGAAAGATTACTAGCAAAATATCGGCGTAACAAGTTAGAAAAATGAAGAGATAATGGGTCATCTGCGGGATTTTTATTTTTGTGGCTACGAGATTTCAAGGTGTACTTTTGCCTGCAACAGGGTCAATTCGGGAAAACGAATCTATGCTTCATTATCGAATTTCTGCACTAAGCAACGGTAGTTTCTACGCTGCTTTCACTGTCACCCAAGGCTAATAAATTATGAAAAGCAGAAATTCAAAAATAATTATGCATAGCGA